ACACATGCGTATTGATACATGTATTTAGTTCAAATTTCTAAATGTTTAAGACGTTATGTTAAAGGGATTATTAATTTTTTCTGGCTATTTCTGAAATTTAATGAGCAGAAATCCTTTATATGGAGGGTGATATTATCACATTAGTAGAATCTATGCTAACACGCATGCTTCTGACTTGTTCCCTTAACCTGCTTGTCTGGTCACCTGCGCCTTACATTGTCTCTGAACAGAGAAGTCGTCCTTGGCCAAATATTTATGCATAAACTATTTATGGACTTTTTAAGTCTTTCCTCCCATCATTAATCCATGAGAAGCAAATAAGCGATCATCTTTTCAACTGAAATGCTAAGAAATGCAAATATGACCACAACTGCGATCTCCATGGTGGATCACGGTCCTGCGTGCTGGGTGACTCGTCTCCTGCTCCCCGGCTCCTGCTCCCCGGCTCTTCTGGATCCGGAGTCTGCTGCGCCGGGGCCCAGGTCTGAATCCACTCTGTGGGGGCATCTCCCAGCGGTTCTGTGTCTGTCCTCACAGCTGGGCACCCCGCCACTTGCAGAGAAGCCAGGGTGCACGCCCAGCTCCAGCTTTGTCATCAGACCCTCCTGCTCCGTCAGCACCGCCAAGGAAAGCCCAGTGTTAGACACTGATGGTCAGGGTGACCCTCTGGCTGCCATAGGCGTTTTCTGTCCAAATTCAAGTGACGGGGCCCTTCAAGGGCTCTCAGCTTCATCCCATCAGACACAACCACACCAGGCCCCCTGCCCTTTGCCGCTCTTCTAGCACCTCCTTTAACTCTTGATCCGGCAAGGTCAGGGCTGCAGGGTCCCCGCTCTGCTTCTGTGGCCCGTCTCCATCTAAGGATCTCAGCGTCCTTGTCACTAAGCGCCTCTTCCGTGTGTCTGGTGGGAATTTTCCACAGTGTTTGCTTCTGCGCAGTTCTCCACTCTTGCCCATCCTCAACCCTGCCTTTTCTAGCAAGTGGCCACATGTATGTTTCTTTTCCTTTTGCGGATTTGTGTGCGTGATTATCTGTGTCCTTGAGTCGAGTGTGTTCCGCCCTGTCTAGAAATCACTCTCCTTTCCAAATCACGTCAGCTGAATGTTTATCTCCCACTCTGGGCCTTCCTTGTCTTCTTCTGACTAATGTGCACAGCATCATCCCCTCCCGCTCCATCCATGTTGTTGCAAATGGCCAGATTTCGTCTTTTTTATCGCAGAGTAGTTTTCCCGTGTGTGTGCACACCGCATCTTCCTGGCCACTGCCTTCTGGTCATCTGTCCTTGGGCACTGAGGGTGTTTTCACATCCTGCCTATTGTAAATAGTGCCGCAGTGGACACAGAAGTGCATCTGTCCCTTTGAATTGGTGTTTTTCTTCCTGCAGGTAGATAGCTAGGAGTGGAGTTGCTGTTTTGAGAAACCTCCATACTGTTTCCATAGGGCCTGGCCAGTCTGCATTTTTAATAATATATACCTGAAACATATGTAATGTTATAAGTCCTTGTTATTTCAACAAAATAAAAAAATAAGGTATTAAAATTGAAAAATAAAAAGATGAAGTATAGTGCCAGGGGAAAAGAGAGTTGTGTGAAAATATATTGTTAGAAATATGCATTGTGAGTTACTGAAAATATGGTGTCATAAATAATATGATGTGTATATACATAGAAGTACAGCGCATCCAACAAGGTAGGTATTTGGCATTTAAAAGGGCCCCATCAGCAGCTGATTTGATGACGTGTGAGAGTGTAACTCTGCTCAGATTTCCTGGAACCGACACTCCGAGGAGAGCTTACAGGCCCGTGTTTTCACATCTCTTCATGCATTGACAGATCCTTTTGGCAAACACTTGTTTGCACTTAGATGTTAAGGGAGATTCAGCCATCAATTTTATATTTGTTTAGCTTGCTTGCTTTCAGAGTTTATCTTCAATTAAAAGAAAACAAAAGTTAGAGAGAACTCCACCTCCTCTTCTGTGGAGGATTTTGTATAAACCTGGCGTCGTGCGTTCCTTGACTATTGTATGGGATTTGCCAGGAAACAGCCTCAGCCAGTTACTCTCTCTCTGGGATGACTCTTGTCACGCAGGCATGTGGGCTGAGGACACCGCGTTTTCTGTTAACTCTTTGAACTCCTGGAAGCTGGATTTTCCTGGGAGCTGGTTGACCACGTCCTCCAGTCTATTAGAATACTCTGTTCTGTCATATTTCTCCATATTAATAGGATGTGACACCACAGATGTGAGGAATCACAGACATACAGAACAGGGGAGAAGGCATCATTTATATATTTCATGGAGGCATGTATTGTAATACATCATTTATACATCATCTGAAACATCACTTATATATTTCATAGAGGGATGATACATCATCTCTGTATCATCATTTCGAAATTCTGTTCCTCTCTTCGCGCCTGTGTTTTTAACCAAGTGCCATACGTTACATCATTCCTTTCTAGTACATTCCAGCACCATCTCTGAGCCGCTGGGACGCGTGTGATTCCTCCTGGCAGCCGCGGGTTCACCTACTAGCGGGAGACGTGCCGCCCGCGGCCGGGGTCCCGGTGCCGCCCCAAGCAGGTGGGCGGTGGGGGACCCCGCAGCGCTAATGCGGGGAAACCCAGACAAGACCTAAAATCGGAAATAATTCCAGGGCCGCTGGAGAGAGGGTGTGAGGAAGAGGCAACTCATGCAGGAGCTCTTTGTATAGTGCTTGAAATTTAAAAATCATGTTGAATGCGGTGCTTTATTATACTAAAAATTAAATAATATGCAGCATTGCGGAAAGGGAAACAGAGTGAGCAGAGCTCAGGCCCAGGGTGGACACATGCACATTCAGAAACACTGTGTGACAGGGGTTCTGGCACAAAACTAGACATCTGAATAGTTGCATGTTGTTTAGTGAGAGAGGAATGGAGATTCCGAATTTTCCTGAGGTGAGTCAAGTGAAAACATCCCCTTTGCTCTTACCCCTGTGGCATGGGTCCATAGGATTTTTTAATCTTAAACTACAAGAAAAAGGGGAAAAAAAGGAACATGGAGCTTAGCTTTTGCACTTCCGAATGCGTGACCTAGTCACAAGGTGTCCCATCATCATTATCTTTCGTTTTTTAAACTAGAGTGCTGTTATTGTTGACTAATTTCTTCTTGTTAGATGCCTTTTATATTTTGAATCTTGAAGGAGTAAGAAGAAATCTCAACTTAAAATGACAGACTCCACCATGCGCAGCATTTGCTGTCATATTTCTCCATCTTAATAGGACGTGACACCGCAGATGTGAGGAATCACAGACATACAGAACAGGGGAGAAGACATCATTTATATATTTCGTGGAGGCTATTTGATTTAGAGAGGCGAAAACTAAGACTCAAATGATATACCATACTCAAGATCATCGGGCTAAGTTTTGATGACTCTGTAAGTCTAACTACCAATGAGAATTATGAGATCCGGGTGATGCAACTTCAACCAGATAAGAATAGAAACTCTGTCACACATATACTGACTCAGTAAAAATAACTTGGAAAACTTACTCATGGAAAAAGTTTTAAAAAGAAGAACATGTCAAAGTGGAAAGGCCGTTCAAGAAATAGCCTGTTCTTTCTACAGCATATACTTTTAGGTTACATAATGACTTCAAATCTATAATCCAAATTTAATATCTATTTTATTGCAGAAATAAATCTTTCCATAATGCCACCTTGGTGGGCTTATATTAAAATAAAGCATGTTCTTCAAGCCATACTTTTAATAATTAGGAATATTTTTATGTGCATTATGAACATATTGTTGTATTTAATTATTTTTATAGAAATCAGTAGTGTGTAATCATGGCTTTGTTTCTTTAACTACAAAGCATATCATGTAGGGTGAGTATAATATTAACAAATATGTTGCAATTTTATTCCCAGTATTAAAACGATTTATTACTTAACTTCTCTAAAATACTCTCCTCCTTCATTTGGAAGATGTCTCTGGAAAATAAAACTCCCAAATCTTCTTCTGTACACCAAATATTCCTTAATTTATTCATTAGAGAGATCCGACATCAGAATTTCAAATATATTTCTGGGAGAAGTGTTTGTCGTCATGGGTGTCTCATTAACCCTCAGGTTGGGGAGCACTCCTCGTTAGCTTGAGGAGCACCGCTCACCATCCTCACAGGGGGCGCCGGGGTGACCGTGAGGCTCTCCTCTGTTTCCCCCGAGTGTGGACCTGGCCGCGCCAGAGAGCACCTCGCCCTGGAGTCCGGGCCCAGGCTGCACCGCCACAGCCAGGCCTGCGCCCACCCAGCAGGGCCCGAGCAACTGTGAGCTGGGCTGGGGTCCACTGCCTCTGAACCCCAGAAGCCGATCTTCCTCAAACCTGCCGTGAGTAAGTGGGTGAGGAACGCACAAGTGAAATGCTAGTGCAGTGGAAATGGATGAGCAGATTCTCCCCTGGTCCTCAGGACGGAGAGGCCTTTATGCAATGCAAGGAGGCGCGAGGAATGTGCAGTTGCTGCAGATTAGGCTTCTCTTTCAACAAGCTTCACATGTTGCTTGAGTTTCAGTTTGTTCTTCAGGAATAAGAAGTGCATCGTTTATCCCTTTAGCAATCCAGAAGAATTTGCAAAATAGAGCATGGGAAGTGAAATTTGATGTCATGAACTTTAAAATACATTGATTTAAAATATGACTTTGTTCTTATTATCTGCTTCTAGCCAGGCTCTCAATCCCTGACCGCTGGCAGCATGATAAAGCATCACTTTTCAAAACAAGAGGCTAAACTATTTTGACATCTTAGGACATGTTTGATGAATCAGGAGGGACCAGTGTAATTTATTTCACAGTCTAATTTTGAGCCCATTCATTATTTTTCAGTGGAAATAAACTAGTCTGGAAAGAAAACTAAAAGCCTCTTTTTATAGTTGTTAGATATACATTATGCAATGCTCATTTAAACATATTAGCTTTTACTATACTTGCCTTGATTTTCAAGCAAAATTTTGTGTCACAGTACATTAATTTCTATTATCTATCTTTGCACTTTTTCATTAACACATTTTATTACAATAAACAAAAGTAAAGATGGTGTTAGTTGTTTGGCTCCAGGCTGCAGTTATTTCACCAAACATCTGGAAGACAAATGAATGGAACAGACTAGTTGTAATTATATTTATTGATTTGAGTGTTTTTAAATTCTTATTTATTTTGAACAATAATGTATTTGTGTCTATAAATTGATTAATGGATTCTAATCTTAATCATGAAATAGTAGAAGTTACAGCTGGCTAAGTATTGTGGTTTCTTACAAATTACTTCAATTACAGATGCCTAGCATTCTGCATTCCCCACTTAACAAGAAGTGGTTTGCCAAGAAGTTTCTCTCATGATCAGCTTGTCTCTGTACTGGCACAGCTGTTGGAAAAGAAACTACACATGTCAAACGTACCTCATCCCAAAACTCAATCCCCAACTACACAGTGTGTCTACACAATTATTCCAGGCTTGAAGTGGTATATGATCTGATATCTTCCCAGTAACAACAGTTGAAACAGTTAGCTTGTATTTATATTTAATTGTTTGAATTATGTTTACCATGCTTTTGAATAATAGAAATAGCCTGCATTGACTAGCAATTACAATATTAAAATACTGTGGGATTTTAACGTGTAAAGTTATGCAGGTTAAAACTGTTCTTTCCTAATTGTCACTTTTTCTATTTTAAAATTTAGATATTACTTGAAAATGGGGCCTCCCTGGTGACACAGGGGTTAAAGGTGGTGCTATCAAGCTATCAGCAGCCATTGCAGCAGGAGTTCGATCCCCTGCAGGCCGGGGAGCAACCCACAGGGCCCTCCAGAACTCTCCTGCCTCGCCCGCTTCTACCCACAGCAGTGTGTTTCAGTAGATCTGCCTGTTCTGCTCCCCACTCTGTCTCTGGTGAATCCTTTGACCCCTCACACCTCTGGCCTACACCCCAGTTCTTGTATGCATAAATAAATAAATCTTTTTAAAAAGTCTCTTTTAAAATGATCTCTTATAATCATGATCCTATATCTGTTAATAGGATAATAATAGAGGTATATATAAGTTTTTATTTATTTAATTTTTATAATCCAGAAATATGTTTTCCTTTTATAGTAATTTATAAAGAATGGATGAGAGATAGCTTTCATATATATATATATATATATACATATATAAACTTCTTTCATAGATAATAGTCATATTCTAGTAGTTAGGTGAAAGTATTAAAGTTACTGATTTACCAGTTAGAAAGAAAATTTCATTTATAATTTTAATTGCTTTTAAATAGGCTTCATAGGGGCCTCCCCGTTGGCGCAGTGGTTGAGCGCTGGGTTGCGAAGCTGCCCGCAGCCTCTGCAGCGCCGGTTCAATCCCCGGCTGCTCCCGACCACCGGAGGAGGGTCCCACATGGCGCGCAGACCTCCCCTGCCACCCGTTGCTCCCCTCAGCAGTGTACCTCGGTCCTTCTGCCTGCTCTGCTCCCTGCTCTGGCTCTGGTGAATTCTCTCACCCTCCTGCGCTTCTGACTGTACCCAGTGCTTGTATAAGTAAATAAATAAATGAATCTTTTTTTTTTTTTAAAAAAAGGCTTCATAGTATGTTATTGACATGTGAACATTCTTATGTGGAAACTGAGATTCCATTAGACTACATACACAAAGGGACAATAGAGGAACAGGTTTTTAGTACTCAGAAGTTAATTTGGAAGAAAATAATAGAAGAGTCTGATCCTTCTCAAATTTATGAAGTTGGAACTCAAACAGTGCTAAATGAGTTACGAATAAAAACTAACTGGCAATTAAAAACTATAGAAGGTGCATTTTACCTTTTTTCACTTCAAGTGAACATGAGGGTGGCTGTGTCGGGACCCAGGGGGTCGCTGCCAGAGAGGGCGAGGAATGTGCGTCCTCGAAGCCATGGCGAGCTGACAAGGCCGGGCTGCCTGGACGAGGGATTCTGATAAGGTTGAAACGATAAACTTACTTATAAAATAAAACACGTCACATCATTTAATGCAGCCATGAATTATCACACACTCGGAGATAGAATTCCGTGTACTGGCGCTAATGAAAGGTGCACCCCATCAGCGCTTGAGCTGCTGTGCTCCGGGGCCTCCCGCCTCGCCTTCCCGCGCGAGTCTCTCCCCGTTTCGGGGGCGGCCAAAACAGGCGTGAGGTGTCAGGTCCCGTGGCTCCTCCTGTGGCTCCCTGAGGATGAGCGACCTTGAGCTCCTTGACCTGTGCCTGCCGGCCATTGGCATGTTTTCTGGGAAAAATGTCTATTCTCTTTCTGGTTTTAATCACATAGTTTGGGGCTTTTTGCTCCTCAGTGGCACGGATTCTTTATACCTTGTGTGTGGAGCCCCTTGTCAGATCTGTCATTTGCAAACATTTCCTCCAGTTTTGTAGGCTGCCTGTTGATTTTTTGATGGTTCCCTCTGCTGTGCAAACTCCATGAGTTACTAATTCTCATTTCTACTTTCTTTCCTCACACAGCACCTTGCATGTTTCTCTTTGAATAGGACGCTAAATGTCTTGATACTGAGTTGTTCTTTCAATGTTTCAATGTTTTTGCCACAGCCTTCAGAACCACAATAACGTCACTATGATAACTGAAAACTCACCACCAAGTTTGATCATTAAGGAAAAAAATTAATTGAGATTTTAATTTAGATAAGATATTGCTAATTTGTTCAGGCTCTCGTTACATGACCATCACTCGGGGAGGAAAGAAATCCTTCATTAATTTCCAAGGAGATAAACAAACCCCACAGATATTCAGAGTGCTTTCAAAAAAGGATATTTTCTTCTTTTTGAACAGTACCACGGTTGAAGAATTTATTGACTTTATAAGCACAGAAATATAAGGTCAAAACTAATGAAAATTGGAAGCACAATTTTCAAGTAACTTTATAGGCACTAGGGACTGCTGGAGACATCGAACACCAGATGACTTCATTGTAAGGCAGGCCTTCAAAATGGGGATGAATACAAAGAGAAAAAATGCTGCTTGATTTACAGTCTTCAGTCAGAAAGTAAATGTAAATATACACAATTTCCCCTCCCCTCGCCATCCTTGCAGCTTTCCTTCAGTGTCTCGCTTCCTTCCTCATGTTCTTCTTTCCTCTTTTTCCTTCTTCAACTCTATAAATTTTCTTCCTTCTCATTTAGAAAGTTTTGCAGTGTTAAAATGTAGCATCAATTGAAGTTTAACACTCCTCAGACTCTCCCTTTCCTTATAAAACTTTAAGATGTCCTATGTAGTGTCTTAATTTCCTTTCCTACCATATCCCCAGATTGTAACTACACCAGAATGCTGTCACATGATTTTTAGGGGAATATAAACATATTAAATGTAGGAAGGTCAATAATAGTTTATAGCATTTGATGAATGCTATAAATGATGAATAATAGTTTATAGCATTTCTTTAGAAAAATAATATGAAACAAAAAAATTCAGTGTAAGTGCCTATGATTGTCAGAGGAATAGCATGAACATTGGAGGTATAATGAAATTTATATTTGCATTCAGTTATAGACTAAGATAGAAGAATGGTAAATGTACAGGATGTGCTAGATTTCATTGATCTAGATGCTTGCAGTTCAAGGACAGAAATGAGATTTAAATGATCCAATGTTGAATTAGAATACAGCTAGGCAAACTGTGGGAACTGTTACAAATATCATTAGCTTTTTTAAATTACCACAATAGTAAAATTTTAAGTAGTATTTAGGGATGCTTCAAAATAACATTTTTCTTTTTCATGTCTACAAAGATTGGTGGGGCTGCCAAGAAGTGCTTCTAGAACTAGATTAAGTTTTGGGGAAGCAGGAGAAACACTGGAAATCAACAACAGAAGCAAACGCTGTTCATTGTAAAGGAGACATTTGGGGGCATAATACGCATATATGAAAAAAATTACAAATGTCCACAGCGAAAGAATATTTTCAATGTTTGAGGTCAGTGCAGTGTGCTTCTCTAAGACTAACTGGCTTCTCTCATTGGGTCATGATTGATTTGCCCACTCAACAGGGGAAGTTGGGGTGGGGGTTTTTCAGCATCACCTGGGTTCTCTTCCCAGGTGATGTTCTCAGAATCTTTGCAGTGGAGTCTGGATGAGGGGGCTCCATGGCCAGGCACCCAAGTGGTCCTCACCCAAGAATTCCCTCACCATGCAGTAGAACTCAAGGTGGGGCCAGCTCTGGTTCCCCCTCCCCCAAGACTGGTGCCCCCCCCCCGAACTTGCTCCCTGCCCCCCACAGCTGTGTCACAAAGTGCACCTCCCTCGCTTCCACTGGCCTCCTGGGAGACCCCACACCCCACCTGCCTAGACCTGCCACCCCAACGTCTTGGTTCTTTTGTTTGTTTCATGTGCTATATAAAATTTGATATTTTGCCTATTGATGTGAGGCAGCTAACTATATTAATAAAAAAACTATCATGTAACAAAGAAGAAAGCAAAGTTCAAATGTAGAAATCCTTTTACATTTGACTTTAAAATTCAGAGAATTATCACCCCCTAATTTTCTTCGCTATGCCACAATAAAAAGAAAAAGAGTAGATGCTATTCAAAGAGAAATAAACTGCATCCAATTAATTAGAAATAGTGGGAAATATCTCTTACATTTACAAATCCTTTGACTTCTGCACAAGATGCTTGTTTATTCATAGAGGGAAAAGATTTACAGGTTTAGTAGAGAAACGTTCTCATGTGATTAAAAAGCAGGAGATGTAGCCTATTGTTTTTCCTTCTGTGGGCTGACTTATCTGTCGGAAGCGCTTGAATAACACAGGTTTGATCTGCTTGGATTCGCTTAAAGATTTCCCTGTACACCAACAACAATGGTATGTTATGAATAAGAACAGTTCAATGCTGTAAGTGCCTTTTCGCTTCCTTATGATTTTCTTAATGACATTTTCTTTTGCCTAATTGACTGTGTTCTAAGAATACAGTATATAATACACACGACAAACAGAAGATGGGCTAATTGGCTAATTACGTTTTCCCTAAGGCTGCAGGTCAACAGTAGGTGATTAGTATTTCAGATTTGGGGGGAAACAAATATATAATATATATGAATTTTCAACTGTGTGGGGTTGGTGTTCAAACTCCTGCATTGGTTAAGAAAGGACAACTGTAATGTGATAAAGGTATGGACTATTTTTTAAAACTTTTTATCACTTCTGTAGTTTGAAAATAGAAGTACCCTTCTCTCTCATAAGCAATAGGAGTTTGTGTCTGCTAAGATAAATTCCTTTATACTCTTTTCGACAGTGTGATTAAATACTATGTTCATGGGGTTAGGTTTAAAAATCCAACTACTGATTCTCCTATATCAACGGGATCAATTTATCACACTGATGCCTATTACCGCTTCAAATCACCAACGCTGCAGAGCTCTCTTTCATCTTTCTAAACTCCAATCATAAATAATTTTTTACCTCTCCCTGATCATTGTGAAGTTTCAAAGTTGTTTGCATGTATCCTTAATATGTTTTTTTTTGCCCTAAAGTGAATTTCTTCTAATTTCCTACATAATTTTTATAAATCACTACACTGTTCTCTTAGCATCTTGCTTAGCTCTAATTCCATATCATTCAAGGAAGAATAGAATAGAAAACTGATGCATGAGCTTTAGATTAAATCTGAAAACAAATCCTGCCCCATTGAGCTGGTGAGCCATCGGACACTTTTTTTTTTTATTTTATATATTTTTACATCATTTGTCATTTTTGCACAATGTATGCATTTTCATCTTGGTTATAGTAACCATACAATTCCCACACCCCCTTGTATTCATCCTACTCCCTCCCCCCCCCATATGTATGTCTCTGGTTTATAGTTGCTTGTTGATTTTGATGATGTGGTATATATACACAATGGAATATTACTCAGCAATCAAAAAAGATAAACTCATGCAATTTGCAGCAACATGGATGGAGCTGGAAGGGATCATGCTCAGTGAAATAAGCCAGAAAGAAAAAGAAAAATACCGGATAGTCTCATTCATAGCAGGAATCTAGAAAACCTAAATAAGGGACCAGGAAAAAGACTAATTACAATAAAGTAAAAACTGTTGGTCACTTTATATCATGTACCCTAGAAATCTTTTCTTTAATCCAAGTAAATCAGAAGAAGATCTATTACAATGAGTTGCTATGCATTTTCTTTAAGAAAGCAAGCACTTGTCACCATATTTGATGATGAAGAAATATTGATATTGATCACAATAGACGTAACTTTTGTCCTGCTCTTGGGAGGAGAGTTTGAGACTTGAAAGGTCACACTGGGACAGACTGCACAGCTGTTCCTCATCAGGGCAGCTGCTCTGCTCCCTCAGCTGAACTACATAGAAACCCCGATCGCATCACCATGTTTCCTGAGGGCCACTGTTGAGGGGCATCTAGCCTGCTGTCTCACACTCACCAGCGTCGTCACAGCTCCGTGTCCACCCCGAGCAGCACCGCCTCGCTCCTGCCCCTGGCACACACCCCTCTGGACCTGACTGCATTGATCTGTAACATTATAAATTAATTATTAATGATAAATAGTAACAAAGAAGAAATCATCAAATTAAATAACATATCCCTTATAATTACAGGATAAACGGTGGAGGTGATGACAGAAAAAAAGATGATAATTCTGATGAAAATGACCAAGTTGATTATGGGAAAAAGAAACAGAAAGGAGAGAAACAGCGCACAGAAGAGAGGGGAGGGAGGGGAGCGTGAGGGACAGAAGAGCAGGGAGAGAGGAAGGGGGCGGAGGGAGGAGTGGCAGCTCTGCCAATGTAACCCACAAGTTTTTTTCAGTCTAGGAAAACTTTAGTTTACTGAGGTGTGGAAGGCATAAATAGAATTTTTCTATTAGCTCTACATAAGAGGCTTCATAAGATCTGATTGTCTATATTTTACATGCTTTCCTCCCAAGAATAATTTCGTATTTCACGATGGTTCTAGTTTATCTCATGTTCAATCTGCCTCTGAACCTGGAATGCTCTTAGATTTTATTTTATTGAGCTGACACTGATTTTCAGCCCCGTGGGATTCAGAGGACTTGGGCCCCGCCTCTCAGATATATGTCACCTGCTAATCATTTGAGATCAGTGTGTTATTGAGCCCACTGCAGCATGGAGACTGGGGTTCTGATTTTAAATAAAGTAAAATGTATCTCCTATATAAACCGTTAACTACCTAATTAAGACATTTCATGTCAGTGCGCGCTTCCCATGCTCATTACAAATACCGAATGGCTGGTCGTCTGGATTTGTTATTACACATTAGGGTCCTACTTCAAAATCCTCCTGGAAAGACTAAGGAAGCTGCTGCACAGCTAGAGTTAGAGGAGACTGAATTGGACCCCAGTGGTCCTTGTCCAGCGCAGACTCTGCGAGGAAGCACCAGAAAAAGAGGAGTGGCCCCTGTATCTGCGCATGTTGCTCCAGGGGACCCTGCTGGAGGGTGTTTTGAGGCTTTTATGCACATCGGCAAGGTTGTTGGCAGATGTTAAGCTGCTTGAAGAGCCTCAAGTGCACTGCATCGGGCATGAGCACCCAGCACAGGGGACAGCGTCTTTGGAAGACCTGATGCCAGAAGCTTTGGGAGCACTTAAGCTATTGGGGAAATGCATCCATGATGTTGTCACACTTGAGGTGATGCATAAAACCCATAGTAATTGTGTGGCTTATGTTTCAAAAAATGAATCTACTAGAACCTAAAGGAATCTCTTGTACATATTTCTATTGAGGAATTAGTGAACACTTCATATAAAATTTAAAAGTTATTATTTTTTTATTTTTTTACATCATTGCTCATTTTTAAACATTATTTGCTTCCCCTCACCCCCTAAGGTGGAGTACCCATAGAGTTTCCTTCACCAATGCACCGTGCATATTCACAAGATATACCTCGCTAACATCTTTAAAGACTCATGGCCCAAAGCAAAGATAGTCAAGGAAAAGACAAACACCTGGGATTACATCTAACTGAAAAGCTTCTGCACAGCAAAAGAGACATTAACCAAAACAAAGAGACACCCCACTGACTGGGAAAAAATCTTTGCACTCCATACAACTGATAAGGGACTGATCACAAAGATATACTAAGAACTCACAGGACTCAACAAAAACAAAATAAACAATCCAGTGAGGAAATGGGCAGAAGAACTTAAAAGACATTTTTCCAAAGAGGAAATGCAAATGGCCACCAGGCAGTCCACATTACCTTAATGAAGCAACATGTCCTTCCATTGGATTTAGATCAGTGATTTTAATAGAATGTGCAAATGTGCTAGAGTCTGATGATTTCTTTCACGATTTCAAAGATCAAAAATGAACAATCTTTGCACTGATGGAAGCACATATGACAGCACGAATCACTACACTCGAGGTCATTGCTACTGCAGGTCCAGACAGAAGACTCTGCTGATTTTTGGATATGTCACATTTGTGGAGCAAAGTGAAATATGACATGGTCTTTGCACCCCCAGAGCCCTCAGTGGTGCCTGCATCTCAATCTTCTGGCTACCAGGCTTTCTAAGCCACCCACTCAGTGGCCTTCCTGGTGCCAGCCATGGGCAGCTCATTTCGTTATCAAAGAGGCTGACCTCTATATTAATTGAAAAAAATTTGTTGAATGAAGCGTTAGCTGTGAGTGTGTTTAATCATAGAAAGTATATGAAAAGTTAGCTGTGGTCCCACAATATCATACATCTTCTCAGAATGCAGATCACATATAAGTATATCTGATGCACACACACATATTGATACATGCATTTAGTTCAAATCTCTAAATGTTTAAGACGTTATGTTAAAGGGATTATTAATTTTTTCTGGCTATTTCTGAAATTTAATGAGCAGAAATCCTTTATATGGAGGGTGATATTATCACATTAGTAGAATCTATGCTAACACGCATGCTTCTGACTTGTTCCCTTAACCTGCTTGTCTGGTCACCTGCGCCTTACATTGTCTCTGAACAGAGAGGTCGTCCTTGGCCAAATATTTATGCATAAACTATTTATGGACTTTTTTAGTCTTTCCTCCCATCATTAATCCATGAGAAGCAAATAAGCGATCATCTTTTCAACTGAAATGCTAAGAAATGCAAATATGACCACAGCTGCGATCTCCACGGTGGATCACGGTCCTGCGTGCCGGGTGACTCGTCTCCTGCTCCCCGGCTCCTGCTCCCCGGCTCTTCTGGATCCCGAGTCTGCTGCGCCGGGGCCCAGGTCTGAATCCACTCTGTGGGGGCATCTCCCAGCGGGTCTGTGTCTCTTCTCACAACTGGGCGCCCCGCCACTTGCAGAGAAGTCAGGGAGCACGCCCGGCTCCAGATTTGTCATCAGAACCTCCTGCTCCGTCAGCACCGCCAAGAAAAGACCAGTGTTAGACACTGATGGTCAGGGTGACCCTCTGGCTGCCACAGGCGTTTTCTGTCCAAATTCAAGAGACGAGGCCCTTCAAGGGCTCTCAGCTTCATCCCATCAGACACAACCACACGAGGCCCCCTGCCCTTTGCCACTCTTCTAGCACCTCCTTTAACTCTTGATCCAGCAAGGTCAGGGCTGCAGGATGCCCGCTCTGCTTCTGTGACCCATCTCCATCTAAGGATCTCAGTGTCCTTGTCACTAAGCGCCTCTTCCGTGTGTCTGGTGGGAATTTTCCACAGTGTTTGCTTCTGCGCAGTTCTCCACTCTTGCCCATCCTCAACCCTGCATTTTCTAGCAAGTGGCCACATGTATGTTTCTTTTCCTTTTGCGGATTTGTGCGTATGATTATCTGTGTCCTTGAGTCGAGTGTGTTCCGCCCTGTCTAGAAATCACTCTCCTTTCCAAATCACGTCAGTTGAATGTTTATCTCCCACTCTGGGCCTTCCTTGTCTTCTTCTGACTAATGTGCACAGCATCATCCCCTCCAGCTCCATCCATGTTGTTGCAAATGGCCAGATTTCGTCTTTTTTATCGCAGAGTAGTTTTCCCGTGTGTGTGCACACCGCATCTTCCTGGCCACTGCCTTCCGGTCATCTGTCCTTGGGAACTGAGGGTGTTTTCACATCTTGCCTATTGTAAATAGTGCCGTAGTGGACACAGACGTGCATCTGTCCCTTTGAATTGGTGTTTTTCTTCCTGCAGGTAGATAGCTAGGAGTGGAGTTGCTGTTTTGAGAAACCTCCATACTGTTTCCATAGGGCCTGTCCAGTCTGCATTTTTAATAATATACACCTGAAACATATGTAATGTTATAAGTCCTTGTTATTTCAACAAAATAAAAACATAAGGTATTAAAATTGAAAAATAAAAAGATGAAGTGATAGTGCCAGGGGAAAAGAGAGTTGTGTGAAAATATATAGTTAGAAATATGCATTGTGAGTTACTGAAAATATGGTGTCATAAATAATATGATGTGTATATACATAGAAGTACAGTGCATCCAACAAGGTAGCTATTTAGCATTTAAAAGAGCCCCATCAGCAGCTGATTTGATGACGTGTGAGAGTGTAACTCTGCTCAGATTTCCTGGAACCGACACTCCGTGGAGAGCTTACAGGCCCGTGTTTTCACATCTCTTCATGCATTGACAGATCCTTTTGGCAAACACTTGTTTGCACTTAGATGTTAAGGGAGATTCAGCCATCAATTTTATATTTGTTTAGCTTGCTTGCTTTCAGAGTTTATCTTCAATTAAAAGAAAACAAAAGTTAAGACATAAGACCTGAAACCATAAAATATATAGAAGGAAATATAGGCAAAACACTACGTGATTTGCACATCAAAGACATCTTTACAGACATATCACCCAAAGCAGTGATAGTGAAGGCAAAGATAAACAGCTGGGACTACATCAAATTAAAGAGCTTTTGCACAGCAAAAGAGACAATAACAAAAACAAAGAGAAACCCCACCAACTGGGAGAACATTTTTACACCCAACACTAATGATAAAGGACTGATCACAAAAATCTGCAAAGAGCTGATGAGACTCAACAACAACAAAGAAAATAATCCAGTCAAAAAATGGGCAGAAGAGCTAAAAAGAAACTTCTCTGAAGAGGAAATGCAAATGGCCAACAGGCATATGAAAAAATGTTCAACATCACTTGTCATCAGGGAAATGCAAATCAAAACTACCATGAGATACCATCTTACACCAGTGAGAATGGCACATATTAAAAAAACTAGCAACAACAAATGTTGGCGAGGGTGTGGAGAAAAAGGAACCCTTCTGCACTGTTGGTGGGAGTGCAAACTGGTCCAACCACTGTGGAGAGCTGTGTGGAGATTTCTGGACCTACTAAACATAGAGCTTCCATATGATCCAGCAATTCCACTCCTAGGTATTTACCCAAGGACACAGAAACATCAATTCCAAAGAACACCTGCACCCCTATGTTTATAGCAGCACTGTTTACAATAGCTAAGCTTTGGAAACAACCCAAATGCCCAAAAATAGATGACTGGATCAAGAAGTTGTGGTACACATATACCATGGAATATTACTCAGCATTCAAAAAAGA